AAAATTTTAAACTTCATTTAACCAAAAAAAAAAATTAAATCCGGGTGATGCTTCAATTCGTGCCGCACTTCGACACCACACGCACATCCGACCCTAGCAAACAATCATAAGCCTTCCAAAAAGTGCACATAACCACCACAGCACTTAGCGTCATAAACGCCAACATAGCTAATGGCCTTAACCAAAAATAACTCTGCGAAATCACAATCCTCGCAGCGTTGGACTTGTCACACAATGCTACTTAAGGACATCGAAAAATTTACGCTCCCTCCATGGCTGAAGAGATGAACTATGAACTACCTGAGTGGCCGTCACTCATCCGTCCTATTTCGGGGTAAAAACTCGAAACAGAGAAGAGTTAAACAAGAGGTTCCGCAAGGTGTTGTCCTCTCCCCGTTATTGTTTAACTTCTACATCTCGAAACTCCCGCAACCACCAGAGGGAATTTCTATCACATTGTACGCTAATGATTGCAAGATAATGATGTCGGTCAATGAAATCGATGGCATGTGCTCAAACGTAAATGGCTACTCTCCAACTTTTCTTGCTTCCACAGCGACCGTATTCACAATCCGGACGAAGAAGTACAGACTTGACCTTAAAATTTCAGTCGATAGCGTCAAGATTCCGACTGTCAACAATCCTAAGATTTTAGGTGTGACTTTTGACAGTTTGTGCTCCTTCACTCCTCATACGACCGCGAATATCGCCATTTCGTCCGCTTGTGTTGATTTACCAATCGCCGAATCTCCAAATTGAGATCAATTATTCGTGGATCACCGGGATCGGCATTGGGTAAGGTATTGCGCTCGTTAACTAAAACAGCTGCTTCGGCTGAGATATTAGGGCAGAGTTAAGCAATTCTTCCAGCCGGCACGAATTGAGCGGTAGCTGCTCTGATCACCTTTGGAAATCGACGTTCGTCAACGAATACGTTCGTAGGAATAGTAAAGCGTTGAAGGTGTTCTCAGTAAATTGTGAGAAGCGGACCCAGTTGGCTTTGTTAAAGTTTCTCGATCGGGATAATTATGGGCAGGTGTCCTAATGCGAGAGTTAGCATAGGTTGCCAGGTTAACCGAGATATACACTTGCAGACTTGTATGCATACCGTGCCGAAAGTCAGTTCACTATACACTTGTGCGACATGTTGTTCAGACATACTTTCGTTGTGATCGTTGAAGTGAACGGACATGGCCTGAGAAGAGGAAATTTTAGCGCTACTTATAATGTCGGTGTGCGCGGAAAATGAGAAGAAAAAAATGAAAGCAACGCTTTTGGGGTCTTCCAGCGTACTTATTCCTGTTGTTCTCACTTCGTGTTCCCGAAGAAAGTCTAGGTGGTTAAAGTACCAAAGCGTTGACTCATATGCATACATACATATGTCCTCTCCACCAGCACCAGTCTTTTCAGATTTTTTTATTTTGCACAATTCTCAACTACAGGAATTTCGGATGTCATTAAGGGAGGATCCTGCTTTAGAGGCTTAATCATTTGAGGATTTTTTTTAAAGGGAAACAAATAATTGATTGAAGCGAAATTTTTAGGGTTAATAGATATATGTACATATATTTAAACACCATCCAAAAATATTTGGATACGAAATTTTTGATATTCTGCCTTTTGGAAGCAATTGGCCATGCATCTCGCTCGTACATTTGTCAGACGGCGGTCAGGACGTAGGTCACAAGTTCTATGGGAAACAAAAAATTTAAAGAGATTCTTATTTGTTAATAACTTAGCTTCTAGTTTAATTTAAAAAAATTACAAAAGGAAATGTGTAAAATTTTTTTAAAAATTGTAAAAAGTGGTTTGTGGAAAAAAAATTTTACTCTATATTATTTAAAAATATGTTCAAACTTGAATTCTCTTAGTTTAAATAGAAGATAATTTAATGACAAAGATATTAAATTTTGCCCCAATTTCATACAACGTTTAGTTTTTTTCTATCCTGCCCGTCAATTAAGAAAATTTGTTAAAATAACAAATGTGACCTCTTCAAAATTTAAACAAGTATGAGATCGGTCTGCAGACTGCACACCTATACACGTTGCTACCCGTCGCATACCTGGCTATACACGATGCGACGGTAGGCAATACTTCACATTTAGCACAGACATGTCTGCAAGTGTATAACCTGCTTTATGCTATTAATCAGACTACCACTAGCAATGATAATATCGGGCGAGCTATTACAGGTTCCCATATCTGCTAAGAACTTCGTCATTCATTGTGCAGAATGTCGAATCGTCCACCTTCGATCGTTTAACAGGCGGGAATGAAAAATATCATGGTTCGCGATAAAATCGCCTAGTACTAAACGATTTTCACTACGAAGTACCGCACCTATATTCGGGTCATATCCTGTGGGGCAACATGTAGCTGGGGGGATGTATATATTGAATATTTGGAGTTCTATATCGCCTGACCGGATACCTATACCTTGAGGGTAGTATACCTGCGGTCGATGTCTCCAACGTTTAGACAATATTGCGCGGTGTTGTGCAATATGACGGCTAGGCCTCCACAATTATCTCGCTCGCGATCCGAATGCAAAACGTTGAAACCGGCACAACTCAGAAGATCTGCTCTAGTGGCGACAAACTTAAATACAAACAAACTTTAATGCTCACCGATCCAAACGGGGTTAGATCGCCGAGAAATCAGCCCTTGGCCGGATAAAATTCGAGTGCGCAGAACCGGCTGTCATGGGAATCGCAATACACCCGTATTCATGCCTGCTGTCATTTTGATATGTATTTATTTCTTATACAAAGTTAGATAGATTTAGAACGCTATCCACCGATTTCGTGATTGAAATAGGAATAGATCTGACGCTCTTGTAAACTTTTTATTATATTTGTAATTTAAGTTCAAAAATTTAACAATTGTATGCAGGTACTTTCTCCATTTGTAATGAATTTTAAACTTGTACGGTGTAGTTGGCATACATTAACGCCTTTTAAATTTTCTCTGGCGTAGAAGGTAATTACTGATAGAGTTGGTGTTTCACATGACTATGGTTAATGTATTTGAGATATAATATTTATTTTTGTGCGTTTGCAAACAACAATATAAGTGTAATTATAATGAATAAATCATAATTGATAATTGTAATATTAATAGGTTAATCAACATCGTTCATGCTAGAACTCCTGAAAAGCTTATTCATTTAACAAAAATATTAGAATGTTACTGAACTATTTATCTCAATGTATAACTGTCTAAATTTTGGAATATAATCCCTCGATGTTGCTAACACTTATATTTTTTTAAGTCTCGATTAAAAATTCAAAAATTTGTGATAATAAAACTTAGTATTTCACAATGTTTCACCAAAATTTTTCACATTTTTCACTTTGTATATTTAAATATACTCTCTATAAATTAGTTCATATTTCATTTTTGTTTTGTATTTGAGCTAAATTTATTAATTCAAAAATCACTTAGCGCACTCATCGTTGAAAAGGTTAGATTACAATTATGAGGAAAACGAGCATCGCCACATCTTAAACACCAAATATGTAGAGTTTTGAATTTTTTTCTTTGTTTGTATATTAACTATAATAAAAGAAACGACTGTTGTTGTTGTTGTAACGGCAGAAATCTGCCGAGTTGACAGTCCTTGGCCGGATAAAAATCCGGATCCGTTCCGGTTTTCGTAGACCCGACTGTCGTGGGAACGGAAAAGAAACGACTAGCTTTTTGTTGTTAACTCGGCTATAATCGCGTAAGCGGTGTCTACGCCAATTAAGAAGAACTATAATGAAAAATGCTTTCCAACATTTTTCAACTATAATTGATTTGTGAACACTTTTTCCTCATCATTCTGAAACTCTATGGTAATACTAATTTAAATCATATCGAGGTGACTGAAGTACTTTCGCGTAGTACTCTTTCCTGCGTTGGCGACCTTCAGCCGCGCATTGAAAAAATAACCCTTTTGCCTTGTACTCCTTTAAAAAGTTAAGTTTTTTATTACGTAATATTACTATTTAATATTACTTAGTTGGTTTTTAAATTTAAATAAGGAAATACCGATAAACATGAAAAGATTGTTTATACTCATTTTAATTTGAAATATAATTTATATACGCTTGTTTTTATTAGAATTAAGATTGCTAAATAAAAAAGAGGAATTATAGCGAAGAAGAGCGCGCTCCATTTCCTCATTATTGTTAGCACATAAATGATGCTCACTAGGAGTGTAAAAAGTAATTTTTAAAATATAAATTCTTACTTATAAAACCTCCAAAAAGTGTAAATTGTGAATTTGTTTAAATGTTTATAGTGTAATTAAGGGTTTATATATGTACGTTGCGTACGTTTTATATATGTACGTCTGTCAAAAAATCGAAAATTTTTTTTTTGCTCCATCACAAAGTATAAGTCGGAGAGAATGTTCTCCCAAATTTTCATAAATATATGTTCATTAGAACCAAAGTTATAGCGTTACATAACGCACGTAGTCATAGGACATGCTCTTTAAACGTGATTATCTGGAGATCGTTTTTTTCCAAAAGGTCCATTGCCGTGAGCACGATTGGCTCATACCTCACCGATTTTCATTATTTTTTTAATTCGTTCATAACTAAAAATTCCACAAATCGTTTCAACAAAATTTTTTTTTGGAAAACCCTTCGTTCACGGACTCCGCACGTTCATATACTAATGAAATTTTTTGTGTTTTATGATTTCAGTTGTGTTGCTGCACCGGATTCGTGCTCACCGTGAACCTCTTCAGGAAAACCGCATTTTGAGGATATTTTTCATTATTTCTGAATGGATAAATGTATTTTCCACTTCACAAAATATTCTTTCGAAACGCATAACTCATATTCAATAAAATGATCGCCACATCTCTAAAATGTCCCCAAATTTTCCTTTATTTTTCCGCAACAAAACGTATATAATCACTTAAATGAATTTGAAGGGCAGAATGTGCATAAAGTGTGTTGAATGTAGTAAAATAGCTTGTTGAAATGTTGGAATTTGGGAATTACCTATAATATTTTTTAAACAGGACGACTTCCTCTTTCCAACGGTACCTTTAGATCGCGGCGCCAATGAAATGGGAATTGTGCTATTTGACAGACTGCAACCCCTTGTTTGTTGTTAAATAAATAGATTAGAACAATAAGTTTAATATTGATATAAACTATTTTTGCACAATATAATGTAAAAAATATGTACAAACGAATTAGTGAGGTGTTATTGAATATAAAAATGAAAAATAATTTGAAATGGAAAAAAAATACGCAATTCATATATTGGTAAGTTTCAACTTTAAACGCAAATATCTGGAAAACTATCAAGTTTCATGCGGCTATAACTATATTCTGTTACCCAATTTATTTCCGAAATTCTTAGACGGTATATTAAAATTTGGCTTGGATTTAGAATAGCATCCCCGGATTTCGGGGATAAAATTGGAAAGGTGACGTTCTCCAGATCACGAATATATAATATAGTTGCCGCTGACTTATAGTTTTAAAGATATTTGCATTTAAAGTTAAAAAATTTACAACTTTTAAATGGATAGTTTGTATATTGTGAATAACTTTTTCACTTATATTATGCACTTTTCAATTAATAACACTTCACTATAACGTTTCTGTATATTAATTTTTTTAATATTTATTGAATATAAAGCTTTATTTTAATAATTTTTTTTAGTTAAGTTCACTGCATTTGCACAATAGAAATAGGGTTGCAATACTAGCAAATAAATGGTATTGCCATATCTGCCTCGTTGTCAACAAAAGAAAATAAGCCAAAACTTTATACCCCAAATACATAAATGGCAATATTACGATTCTTTTGGCGCGGCGATTTGATGATACGGATGAATAGAGGAGGTCCTCAGGATTAAAAAATGTATACACATATACCCTCCTCAGACTCATAGTTTACGATATATTTATGTTTAAAGTTCAAAAATTTGCAAAAACATTCCTCGTTATTTCACTATGTTCAACCCACTTTACAAATTTTTCAATTAATATATATTTAATTACACTATATACATTCAAAAATATAAAAAATGTAAACTAATTTTGTATTTTTTAAGATAATAAATATATTTTAAAAACTATTTTGCACATTCAAACTTTCAAGAGATTTGTGTGTTTACATTTATGACAAATAGCTGTGTTACTTTGTGTCCTGAAAATATAATCAAAAATTTTTCTATTTCATATTTGACAATTCAAAAGTCTGAATATAAAATAAATTTTCAAAGAAATATATACATATATATGTATATATGTATATATGTAAAAACATTACAATAAATAGAAAAAATTTATAGAATGCAAAGTTTTTAAGTATTTCTATCCTTTTGATTAATATACATAGGTGTTCGATCGATGAGGGTTATTTTTTTTTGAAAAGCGGCCGAAGGCCGCCAGAACAGAAAGTAGTTCGATCAAAAAGAACTATGAGTACCCCGGTGTTGGACCAACCAGGGTTATTTTTTTTAAGCGCAGCCGAAGGCCGCCAGTGCAGAAAGTAGTTCGCCACAAAAGAACTATGATCACCACGGTGTTGGACCGACCAGGGTTATTTTTTTTTGAAGAGCGGCCGAAGGTCGCCAGTGCAGAAAATAGTTCGACACAAGAGAACTATGAACACCCCGGTGTTGGACCGACAAGGATTCTTTTTTTTGAAGCGCGGCCGAATGCCGCAAGTGCAAAAAGTAGTTCGACACAAAAAAAATATGAGCAAAACAAAATATGTGACAACACTAGTATTTGTCATGACATGTAAATAAAAATAAAAAAATAAAAAATTGCATATAAAATTGAGGAACTTTAAATACAAATAACGGGAAGACTTTAGTATACCGTCCCAGGATTTCGGGAATAAAATGGGTATGGTCGGATAGAGAAGATTCTTCAGATCACGAATATATATGGTTATAGCAGCAGGAAGCTTATAGTTTTCGAGATATTCGCGATTAAAGTTGAAATTTTGCAATATTTTAATTACATATTTCCGGTATTTAAAATTAATTTTTCAGTTAAATTTTTCAATTTTATATACACTAACACATCACATATTCATTTGCACACATTTATTTTATATAATATAGTGCAAAAATTGCTTTTAATATACATTTAAATTATTGATGAAATATGATTATTTAAGAATAACAAATGAATTACAAAGTGTCAAATAATCAGTGTTACTTTATCGACATCGTTTGTAAATTAACAAAATGAAATAAAGTGAAAAGATTATACCCCAAATACGAGAATCAACAACCTATAAAAGAAATAACTCTGGTCGGTCCAACAACGGGGTGTACCAAATTTTATTCGCGTAGAACTCCTTTTTGCGTGGGCGGCCTTTGGCCGTATATAAAATTGAAAAATTAAAGTTGATTTAATCGCGAATATCTCGAAAACTATTATCTTCCTGCGGCTATAACCATATATATTCATGATCTGGAGAATCTCCTCTATCCAACCATACTCATTTTATTACCGAAATCCTGGGACGGTGTACTAAAGCCGACCCCAAATAACTCGTAAACGGCAAGTCAGGGAAGGGTATATGTGTATAAATTTTTTAATCAAGAGATTATCCTCTTTCAGATTATACCCTTAAATCGCGGCGGCAAAAGAATCGTAATCGTGCCACATAAATGGAAACCCATTTTAACCGCAAAATCTGGGGATGCTATTCTAAAATTTACCCACATTCTATATTTATCTTAATCTTGAAGCAGGGTGTCACTATAGTATTTGCCAATTTTAATCAACAAAAACAACTACATTGATTACGACACCAATTGGCCTCAGCTTATTACAAAAGTACAAATGTTTTATTAGAAAAAACATTCAATCATGGCACTCCTAATGACTTACCATTTTATCCACTTTACTTTCCAATGTTCGAGCAACAGTTTTCCAATTACGCTGGGAACCAAAGAGCCCATGCATTATTATTAGAGGCAAATATGTAGAGTTATTTTCCCCATAAAGTGTATACGCCATTTGTATTGGAGTTATGTTGGCAAAGGAACGCATCATAGGAGAAGCAAATAAAGCTTTTTCTATGCATTTCTTTAATAAGGATTTAGGAACGATTTGATTGGTAAAATACATGTAATATTTAAGCAGTTAGAAACTGATGTCAGAAATTTACACAACTAGTTTTCCCAAAGTGGATAATTAAGAATTCATAAAATCGATTCTTTCCGATAGACACAATAGAAATATCATAGGAGTCACAGTAAAATGCTGACAATTTATTGCCAAAAAAGCTATTGTAACGAATTTATAGTAATAAAAATGGGCTACGTCGAAACTGTAGCGCTTATGGGTTTATTATATAAAAATCAAAAAATTGCGATTTCTTTGGCGGCGCGATCTGAGGCACAATTCCGATTTCTTAGGCGCCGTGATGTGAAGGTACCGTTGGAAAGAGGAAGTCCTCCTGATTAAAAAAAAGATATATATAGTGTTATAGGTACCGCAAACGCTTAGTTTAGGAGATATTCGACCTTAAAGTTCAAAAATTCGCAAAATTAGTACATTTCAAGACGCTATTTCTCCACATTAAACACACTTTATTCACATTTTACACTTTAAATTAATTAAATTACACTATAAACTTGTAAATAACTCCATATCTTACACTTTTAGCAGGTTTTCTACCTAAAAAATCCCCATTTTAAAAATTACATTTTACACTCGTTTTAACCCCATTCGTTTACCAAAAATTACGACGAATACAATTCCCACGACAGCCGGTCCTACGTTACCGGAATTGACTCGGATTTCATCCTACCAAGGGCTGTTTTTTCGGCGATCTAACCCCGTTTCGATCGGTGAGTGTTGATTTGTGTGTGTCGTTACTGGAGCAACGCCTTGCAGCAGGGTTGCTCCGTATCCTCCTGACTCGTGCTGGCATTGAGTCCAACCCGGGCCCGGAGGAATTCTTCTGCTGCGTTTGCGCGAAAAGGCTCCAACCAAACTCCACCTCGGTCAGGTGCAACAGATGCAATGGATGGAGTCATCTTAAGACCTGCTCAGGCCTTAAGACCCATAGGGAGTGGACCACACGTTACGTGGCCCCTTGTTACCTACGCAATACTGCGACGCTAGCCTCTACGGCTGTGCAACCAGCACATAGTGCGCGCTTCGCCACCACCCACCTCGAGTGGCCAACAGAGGACCTCCACGGTCCCCCGGAGCTCAACTAGGCAACATAGCTCCCAATCTGACTTGCCCCGGTCATGCGATGTCGAGCTCGAAATATTTAATATATACATCCCCCCAGTTACATGTTGCCCTACAGGATATCACGCGAATATAGGTGCGCTACTTCGTGGTGAAAACCGTTTGGTGCTAGGCGACTTTAACACGCACCACGATCTTTGGCATTCTTGTCTGTCAAATGACTGTAGGGGGATGGAGCTGGCGGAACATATTGACGATTCGACATTCTGCACAATGAATGACGAAGCCCCCACCAGAGTTATGGGCACTTGTAGTAGTTCGTCCGATATTACAATCGATAGCGGTGGTCTGATAAATAGCATAACCTGGCGACCTATGCTAACTCTCACATCAGGCCACCTACCCATAATTATCTCGATCGAAAAACCTGCCGATTTCGTTTCTGTGGACAACCGCACCTTCGTTAACTTCAAAAAAGCTAACTGGGTCGGCTTCACAGAACTTATTGAGAGCACCTTCAACGCTCTACCCATTCCTACGGACGTATGCGTTGGCGAACGTCAATGGCCTTGCCGATCCCGGGGATCCCCGAATAAGGAATCTCAATTTGGAGATTCGGCGTATGGTAAACCAGTATAAGCGGACGAAATGGATAGAGCACCTGAAGTCCTGCAACCTCTCCACCGGTGTGAGTAAGCTTTGGGCTACTGTCAAAGCTTTGTCCAACCCGAAGAGTCATGACGACCGAGTTGAAGTTCAATTCAATGGTCATGCTTCTTCGGACCCGAAGAAGTGCGCGAACTATTTTAGCCGGCAGTTTACACTGCACCCTTCGGCAGACAAAGCCAAACRATGTGTTAACCGACGGCTGCGCAAAATGCCAAACGACGGCGCGCCACTTACTTTCACCGATGAAGAGGTTCAGGGTGTCATCAACGAAGCAAAATCTTCCAAATCCATTGGCCCTGATGGAATCAACATGTTAATGCTAAAGCATCTAGGCTCGACGGGAGTAAAATATCTCACCAAGGTCCTCAACCTGTCACTTACCACTCTTCAAATACCCGATGTGTGGAAAGTCGGAAGAGTGGTCCCACTACTGAAACCTGAGCCWAGCCAGCCACCAGCATGGATTCCGTAAAATGCACAGTACCACCACAGCACTTAGCGTCATAAACGCTCAGATAGTTCGTGGCCTCAACCAGAAACCACCCTCTGAGAGAGCGATCCTCGTAGCGTTGGACCTGTCAAAAGCTTTTGACACGGTCAATCACACAACGCTACTGCAGGACATTGAGAAAACCACACTTCCTCCAGGGCTCAAGAGGTGGACCATGAACTATCTGAACGGTCGCCAATCATCCGTACTATTTCGAGGCGCAACATATAAACTGAGAAGAATTAAACAGGGGGTTCCGCAGGGTGGTGTCCTCTCCCCGCTACTGTTTAACTTCTACATCTCGAAACTCCCGCAACCACCAGAGGGGGTTTCCATAACCTCGTACGCTGATGATTGTACGATATTGACGTCAGGCAATGGAATCGATGGCATGTGTTCGAAGGTAAACAACTACCTCTCCGATCTTTCTCGTTTCCTCACTCAACGGAACCTCCAACTTTCCCCTACCAAATCCACAGCGACCATATTCACGAACTGGACGAAGGAGTACAGACTGGAACTTAATATTGCAGTCGACGGCGTCAAAATTCCGACTGTCAATAACCCTAAAATTTTAGGTGTTACCTTCGACAGTATATGCTCCTTCTCTCCACACACGACCGCGATCATCGCCAAAGTACAGAGGCGCAACAAAATCCTCAAATCGCTAGCCGGCAGCACATTGGGAAAAGACAAAGAAACGTTGTTGGCAACTTACAAAGCAAACGGCCGGCCGGTCCTCAACTATGCAGCACCCATACGGTCGCCTGGATGCAGTAGCACGCAGATGAGGAAACTACAGACCTGCCAGAATACRGCACTCCGGACCACGACGGGATGCCTCCTGATGTCTCCCATCGAACACCTACATAGCGAGACGCTTATGCTCCCAGTCAAGGAGCATAATGAACTCCTCTCCAAGCAGTTCCTGCTAGGA